TGTGTTGCCTGGGACATCATAAACACTGGATCTTACGGTGGTGTAGTACATTTATTCTTAAACGACCGTTGCAATGGCTAATATATCAATTACATGCAAACGAATTGCCACTGCGACACTTGGTTAGATATCTGGATGGAAATATCACAGAACCTCAATCATTTTTAAGTAGGTACTATTGAATCTTATAAGCAGTTACCTATTGTATACTATGAAAGAATTAAATTTGAGCTACCTTAGGTCAATTTAAAAGAACGTATCAAAATTATTTATACCAGCTATGTATTGCCCTATCTATTCCAGCTAATTTAGCGAATAAGTCTCTTGGCAAGATGTCCCATGTGAGATGATTGACCACGGCAAACCGTATTTTGCGACAGGGAACTCTCTTAAAATGAATTAGTCAAAAATTATCATAGCGAAAAAGCAGCCACCAATAACTGTAGTCCACAGCAATTTGTATCCCGGACATTATATAGTAGGTAAATTCCTATGTAAAATTTAGGGAATGCAATATGGCAGCAAAATGTACAATCTTGGTATTGCAAAATTTAAGAGGTGTAATCTCGCAAGATCTCGATATTTTGTAAGATCTCGCAGATTTAAGATTAATAAAAAAAGAAATTAGTATAATTATAATTATAAATAATTATTTATATTACAACTTTGTAAGGGCAAAATAATGAAATAAAACATAAATTAAATAATTTATTTAAGACTATTCCACTCATTGTTTTAAGGACCAATCAGATTTCAAAAAACAAGTATTTTTTTCAATGTTGTAGCGATAAAACTACTATTTAAGTGAAAAAACCACTCGTTTATACGAATGCAACCAATTGGTTGCTATGCAAAAAATAATTGTAAATGTTGTCATACAGAAATTTAATGGGCAGTTAATTCTAATTAAAAAAAAATATTTGTGAAATAGTCTTGCCGAATACCAATCGTGATAAAATTTTTGATTTTTATTTACTTAAGATTTTTCCTCGGAAATTTCTAAAAAAAAAACACTAGTGGTAGGTATATAATATTATATGTATACGAATAATCATCAAGCTATTGAAGCAAAAAACATAAACACGACCAAAATTATTTATTGAAAAAACTATAGGTACATTATTTTGAAAATGACTTCTCAAAAAACACAAAACACATATTGAATGCATTGCATCCTAATCTCGCAAGACTACTCTTGCGGAATTAGTCGAGAATCGAAATCATTTCATATTTAATAATTACAAAACAATTAATCTATGAAAATTAACAAATTAGTCAAATTAGTGACAGAAGCATTTTTCACAGTATGTGGTTTCAGTAACAGAGATAAATGAGTTGGGTTGGAATGCAACTATAGCATACAGACACCATGTCAAAGTTTAAGATAAAATCAGATTAGGAAGTAGAAAATAAAAAAAAAATCTTCTTTTATCTATTAAAAAAGGGTCATATGGTTGGGTGGATGGGTGGTCAGGGATAAAAATCGATTGCAATCACCTACCTGTGGTTAGTTCTGGGTAACTTTCTATATTTTATGATACAAAATAAGCAAAGAGCTGCTCTTAAGGTACCTATCCAAAAAGAAATAATTGATTTATTATTTAAGTTAAGGGGTCTGCAAGGGTTCTAAATGTATTACAAAACTAAACATATTTTTTAGCTAAATAGGAAATCATAACACAGTTGAACACGATTTTCCTTCCATGAAAAATTTTAAGATTAAAAAAAAACGTACCCATGTCTCACCGTTTCACGAAATCCCGTCATTTAAATTGTTAATAGAGCCATTCTTATTATTTTAACCTATACAGATTTTTAATTCTCTATTTTGTTATAAATCATGTTTTTTCTTCAAATATTGTATGTTGTTACATAATTCAAAAATTATACTTTACAATTTTAATATTTTAAGTAAAAAAAATTATTTCCGCTTTTAATTTTTGATTTTTTTTAATAAATCAACAGATTTGTATTTATCTTAAATTCTTATGTTGGAAACAAATCTTGATCTATTAGTTTGATGATTATACATTGCTTTAGAATGTATTACAACCTAAAAAACACCACTGGGTGTGGTCAATTGTAAGTTTCTGGGGAACGGAAAAAAGATATCGATTTAAAATTTAAAAGCGTTTATAATCCCTTTTAGCCTATTTTTCTAAAATATTTTAAACAAAATGCCACTTCCGGTTTGACCGGAAGTGACATCATCTTTGTTATTTTATAGAGAACACCCCAAATATATTTACATTTTTAAATTCAACATACAATTCTGAGTAAAATTACTATACCATGTCATATACCTAAAGTGAATAGTTTTCGAGTTATTAATTTTTTCGATTAAATTTGGTAAATGCGCGTCAATTAAAAATAGCCTATAACTTGTTTGCTATTGGGTTTACGGATATGGGGATAAAATGTTTGAAATCTTAAAACATTGTTTAAAAGATTTCATGTCAATTCTTTAACATTTTTCAACAAATTATCCGAGAAAACCCAGGCCAAATTGGGCTAGCTTGAAACGTTAATAACTTTTTTATTTTAAATGTAACACCCGGTATGTTTTAACCTAATCACATTCACATGTGACGGGTGAGTTGACGGTATCTTTGGTCAGGGGCGCCGGAATGTTTTGAAAGCGTGTGTTAAGTAGGTTTACAAACCTATAGGCATAGTTTAGGAGGCAATCAAGAATAACGTAGGCAGGCTAGGGGGTGGGGGTTAAATTTTGGATTACTTTTGCTGAGAAAGGGAGGGCAATTTTCTTATTTTTGTATTTACGAGGGCGAGGGGTAAACCACTGATTTTTTAACATGAAAAATATTTAAAGATCCGAAAAAAAATTGTTTTGATAATAAACACACACAACAGGCCTTCTGGCGCCCTTGTCTGTGGTTACCACGTAATCTGTAAAAATTAACAAAGCCGTAGAATGTCAACTACATGAAGCACTAACTCAAAACGTTTCCTAAAGTATTTAAGCTTAAAATTTCATGGGTTTTATCCTGTGTAAGGGTTCATTGTCCACCAGAAGAGAGATTCTATCCGTAACTTTTTTATGCAAGCTTGTAAATTTTTAAATAGAATGTTAGCTTCTGTTGATTTTTTAATTCCTAGAGCTGGTAGTCGCCTGAGCCATACTTTTAAATGTCCATTTGCTCGCACTAATGTTCTAGCCAAATCAGCTTTATATGTGATGTTTTGTTATTTTAACAAAATTTCAGCAAACTGTGATATTAACCATTAATGGTTAAAGAACAATTCTTCTTTAAATAACATCGCTTATTTTTAATTATGTTTGTTCACTTTTAGTTTTAGGTACCATATAAGTAATTTTTTTCTGTAAACCTCTGTGTTTTGTTATATGAATGTCCTTTTTTGGTGTAAACTGTTGGGCAATAAAGTTTATATTATTATTATTATTAATAACGAAAAAAAAATAATAACTCAAAAACTATTTATTTTAGGCATAGGACATGGTACAGTAATTTTACTCAGAATTTTATGTAGAATTTAAAAATGTAGAAATATATATTTGGGGTTTTCTATTAAAATAACAAAGTTAATGTTACTTCGGGTAGTGGCATTTTGTTTAAAATGTTTTAGAAAAATAGGCTTAATTGTATTATAAAAGCTTTCAAAATTTCAAATCGATATCTTTTGCCGTTCCACAGAAACTTTCTATGGACCACGAACGTGAAACACCCGTATTTCGTAAAGTAGCTAACATTTTATTGGATCGCATTTTAAAAAAGTTGACGTTATCTGAAAAAACGCCGAGACACGGGTATCATTTTTTTAAGTCTATTTCCAAAATCGATAGGAATTTTTCATGAGAGGAAAAAAATCAAATTTTGTCGTACTGTGTAATACATAACTTTAATTTTAGTTTAAACATTTTCAATTTTTTTTTAATTAAAATAAAGGATTTGAAAAAACACAGAGACACGTAGAGTTTTATATCGAGGGGGAGAATTTTTCTTGGCAATACTTGGTTTAAAACCTTACTCCATGGGGCCAGGAGGTACCCCCTCATTTTAAAGGTTTGAAATCCCTATATATTGGTGTATTATTTTTTAAATCGGTCTGTTTTTATTGAGATATTTTAGAAAATCCATTTAATCAAAGACAATGTCACTAATAAAAAACATGATAATGAATTTTTTAGGTTGTTTTTATTTTTTAATACTACAAAAATTCAAGTTTCCGAGAGATTTATGGTGGAAAGTTTTAAAATGATAACCTATTGAAAAAAAACAATACAAACAACATAAAAACTATACCAAAAATAGAATTAAAAAAAGGCTGAGGTGCAATACGTTAAAGTTTGACACAAATTTAAAAAATGTTGTTAACAATATGAATTTGGAGTTGAATACTATAATATACTATTCTTTGCAATTAATTTAAAAATATTATATTATTATACGAGAGATAATGTAGGCTATTATTCACAAAGATGTGGTTTGCATCTCGAGCCGCCAGGCGAGGGACGTAAATCATTCGAGTGAATAATGTGCAATGTACAATGTGCCAATTAAGTAATTTTTATTAGTAACATAATTTATTATAACCTCACTTTCTTTCTTTTGAAGATATCATTTTAGTGGCCCCCCGTATATATCAAGTTCCAACCTTACTTTCGGAAACAATTTAACAATTTAAATATTAAATTCGGTCAATCATTAATTGATGCCTAACAATGTGAATAATGAGTTCATAATAAAATTATCTCCGTTGTTAGGCGGGTCGGTTATAATATATTATAAGTTATAATATATTATAACCGACCCGCCTAACAACGGAAATAATTTTATTACCTATAAACTCATTATTCAAATTGTTAGCCATCAATTAATTAACTAAATTAATGAACTATAGTTACGATTATACACGGAAAACTCCAAATAACGTTAATAATATACAATAGGAGCTCCTATGGTAGAAAAATATGTTTTAAAATTAATTAAACATGTACCTATAACCTTATTTTTACTTACATTTTAGGCTTTAAAAAACTAAACTCCTCTTCTATAGAGCTAAGGATTTGATACTGAAGTTTATTTTGTATATTACAAAAATCATCAATATCTTTTATGTTGGCCCTAAAAAAAATACATAAATAATAAAAATATATTTTTTGGAAATGTAGGAACTCATTCTGTTTATAACTTACAATATTAAAAAGGGTGTAAAAATAATCATTTAAAAATTAAGTAGGTATATTAATTAATATTAATAATATATTAATATTTTTTTTTTGCAGCCCTTAAAAAGTGGAATAGACAGGAAGTACTTAAATTGTCCTGCAGTTATTTTAGTAATTTTTTTAAATACTTTATTTATGGTCGTAAAAATCAAGGTGAAAATTTTAGATTTTCTCGTTTCACACCCCTTTTAAAATCGCAACCCTGAAGGTATTTTTTTTAAATCAAAGTTTTGTTGTAAAAAAAAATTTAAACATTATTTTTACCTTACACTTTGTATATATACGTATATATTAGGTTGTATTTTATATAGTTTTTATTAATCAAAAAGGAGTAGATTTTTTTTAAATAGGCTTACATTTCAATGTGGCGCAGCTGGTCGGAAAAATTTACAAGCGCTTTTAACGGTCCATTAGCGTCCTTTATTACCGATTCCCATTTGTTTACATGGTTTGGCAACATCTTACAAAAATGTACCACCAGTTTTTGTATTTGAACTTCTATATCACACATCGTTAAAATATTCTATATATCTTAACACACATAATCCTAAAATGTATTGTTGATGGACACTAAACTCTTCACCGTATAAGAATTATTTACGTACTTGACATGCTTGATCACCATGCTTAAATACTTGCGCGCCATCTATTGTCGAGAAGAAAAAGTTAATCAATTACCAAATAAAATTATTTGACCTTGAGTATGTTTATAAGCAGTGTTGTCAGTTAAATTTCTTAAATAATGTATTCAATTATTAAATTTTAATGTAAATATTTTATTTAGTAATTTATATATTTTTTAAGTATTTTAATCCAAATATTTATATACCTACCTAGGTGGGTATATTTATAAATTTTATAAACATGCTTTTTGTCAAGATCTAAAGAAGAAGAAATGCTTTTTTAAATCCAAATAATTTATATGATATATATATATATATATATATATAAATTATATCAAATAAATGAAAGATTTCTGTTCATAAATATAGAGGTAGGTAGGTATATAGTATAGACTGTATAGTAGGGTGAGCCAAAAAAACTAACCTATCGGATTTATGGGTTAAAATGAACCTACATACCGAGCAAAAAATTTTCCTGCAAGGAAAAATTTTTTGCTCAATTTTAAAAGGTGTCGGTGAGCATTCTAAGTTTTCCATTGAAATAACACGTTAAAAAAATCTTTTTTCATTAAAAAAAATATAACTTTTGAACCGTTTGAGATAAAAAATTTTACGTCGCGGATTCTTAAGAATTGTAGAGCATAAAATTTCCTACAAAATCTATCCCAGAATTATTTTTTTTCAATTTAAAAATTCGTATATTTGAAAGCTTTGAAAAGTGAAAAAAATCATAATATTTAGTTTTAGTGTTTTTTGACTAAAAATGTTCATTAGGGTGTTTCATTAAAACGAAAATTTTTTTTTTGTTGCTGACACATAAAAATTTCGGTTTTTAGGTTGAAAAAAAAAATTCCCTGAAAATTTGAGCCCTTAATTTTGATTCCTTCCTTTTTAATTTTGTAGTTATTCCATATAAAAAGCATGTATTTTTAATCATTTTTACTTTAAATTTCTATATTTTGGCCGGGTTTTGAATTATAATTTTTATCACCATAATAAAGGCCCTGCATCAATTTTGTTTTTGATTTATTTACGTTGATTCTGTGGGTAAAAGGCATAAGGGGATAAGTTAAAAAAAGCCTTAAACGTATTCGCATTAATTCAGGAAACATATTTATGGTTAGCGGGTATACCCTTTTGTTAGCCCATGTCATATGCTAACAAAAGCGTATACCCGCTAAACATAAATATATTTCCTGAATTAATGCGAATACGTTAAAGGCTCTATTAAAAAATTGCTTTTTTTGACTTATCCCCTTATGCCTTTTACCCACAGGATTGTAGTAGCTCCAAAAGTCGTTTTTTTTCACTTTTTCTCACATATTTTTGAGAAAATCCATCGAATGACTGGTTTTACCCAAAAAGTTCAAAAAAAAAAAGTTGTAGGAAATTTAATTTTTGACAAAAAAGGTTTTTACGTTCATATCACTAAAGTGCTTTGTTTAAGAGATATAAGCAATTCAATAACCAAAAACAAAGAAAAAATAGGTTTTATTGAAATTTATGTAATTTCATTCAACAACTATATATTGCTTATATCTCTTAAACAAAGCACTTTAGTGATATGAACGTTAAAACCTTTTTAGTCAAAAATTAAATTTTCTTTTTTATTTGAACTTTTTTCGGTAAAACCAGTCATTCGCTCGATTTTCCTCAAAAATATGAGAAAAAGTGAAAAAAACGACTTTTGGAGCTACTACAATCAACGTAAATAAATCAAAAACAAAATTGATGCAGGGCCTTTATTATGGTGATAAAAATTATAATTCAAAACCCGGCCAAAATATAGAAATTTAAAGTAAAAATGATTAAAAATACATGCTTTTTATATGGAAAAAACTACAAAATTAAAAAGGAAGTACTTAGAATCAAAATTAAGGGCTCAAATTTTCAAGGGAATTTTTTTTTCAACCTAAAAAACCGAAATTTTTCATGTGTCAGCAAGAAAAAAAAATTTTTTGTTTTAAATGAAACACCCTAATGAACATTTTTAGTCAAAAAACACTAAAACTAAATATTATGATTTTTTTCACTTTTCAAAGCTTTCAAATATAAGAATTTTTAAATTAAAAAAAAATAAATCTGGGATAGATTTTGTAGGAAATTTTATGCTCTACAAGAATCCGCGACGTAAAATTTTTATCTCAAACGGTTCAAAAGTTATATTTTTTTTTAATGAAAAAAAGATTTTTTTACGTGTTATTTCAATGGAAAACTTAGAATGCTCACCGACACCTTTTAAAATTCAGCAAAAAATTTTTCCTTGCAGGAAAATTTTTTGCTCGGTATGTAGGTTCATTTTAACCCATAAATCCGATAGGTTAGTTTTTTTGGCTCACCCTACTGTATAGTATATATCTATAGTTAAGGTGACCAACAGTACTGGCTTACCCAGGACAGGTTCTGGGTTTTGCTAATGTGTCCTGGATTTAATTGTGTACTGGTTTTGTCCTGGTTTTGAAAATTTAATCCTGGTTTATACTTTATTATTGACGTTATTAGCAATTTTGGGCGGGGCTCAGGTTAAAAATTAATTTAAAAATGTAAAACTTTGAAAATACATTTTAGAAGAGTAAAAAAGTAAGAAAAAATCTTGTTTTAAAAAAAATATACCTATAAAAAAATTATGATTTTTTCTCACTTTTTTAAGATTTCTATTATTTTTTTTAAGTGGTCGAGGCTCAGGTTAAAAATTAATTTACAATTATGAATTTTTGGGAGTACCTTCAGGATAGAAAAAAAGTAAGAAAAAACCTAGTTTGAAATTATTTTTTTAATTATAAGTTTTTCGTATTTTTTGAGATTCGTTCCAACTATTTTACTTAAAGTGGTCGGGCCTATATATATTAGGGTGATTCATTTCCGCAAAGTTTTTGTTTTTTTTCGGTGCTCAAGCAAAATATTAATCTACCTATAGAAAAAAAAATTTTCACCAAGGTAGAGCTCTTAATATCAATTTTAAGTACTTGCAGTTTAAATTTAAAGTTTTCCCATTTAAAATGCATGTAAAAAAAATGGTTTTTTTTCAAATTTCTAATGCTTACCCACCTTTGACAATATTGCAAATCGGTTTAATACACCTTATGGGGAATTTCACGCTCTTTAAAATTGCTTTAGAGTTTTTTTTTGTAACTCGCATCGGTTCACCAGTAGGAGTCGTCAAAGGACAGTTTTTGAAAAAAATCTTTTTTTTTTTTTATTTTTTCGAGCAAATTGACAAAAGTAGTGAGAAAAAAGGGCTGATTCATAAAAAAAAAGTTATCCAACCAATATTTAATGAATTTACTGCCATTTTTATAACTGAAAACGTAAGAAATTGATAAATACCAACCTATAATGTTATTTAGATTGATTTTTTCTATTTATTATCATTATATTTCCCTCACTCATAATGAATATGAAAACAACACATACATATTTCAAATTTCGCTTCAAAAAATTAAATAATCTTCATTTATATTTTTTTGCTATTTTTTTATGAATTTATCTGTTGTTTTCATATTCATTATAAGTGAGAAATTAATAATTTTAAAAAACTTCTTAGTGTAGGGAAATATAATGATAATAAATAGAAAAAATCAATCTAAATAACATTATGAGTTGGTAATTATCAATTTCTTACGTTTTCAGTTATAAAAATGGCTGTAAATTCATTAAATATTGGTTGGATAACTTTTTTTTATGATTCAGCCCCTTTTTTCTCCCTACTTTTTGCGGTTTGTTAGAAAAAATTAAAAAAAAACGATTTTTTTCAAAAACTGTCCTTTGACGACTCCTACTGGTGAACCAATGCGAGTTACAAAAAAAAAACTCAAAAGCAATTTTAAAGAGCGTGAAATTCCCCATAAGGTGTATTAAACCGATTTGCAATATTGTCAAAGGTGGGTAAGCATTAGAAATTTAAAAAAAAAATATATTTTTTACATGCATTTTAAACGGTAAAACTTTAAATAGTAAGTACTTAAAATTTATATTAAGAGCTCAAACTTGTTGAGAATTTTTTTTTCTATATGCAGATTAATATTTTGCTTGAGCACCGAAGAAAACAAAAACTTTTCTCCCTACTTTTTGCGGTTTGTTAAAAAAAATTAAAAAACTGTCCTTTGACGACTCCTACTGGTGAACCAATGCGAGTTACAAAAAAAACCTCAAAAGCAATTTTAAAGAGCGTGGAATTCCCCATAAGGTGTATTAAACCGATTTGCAATATTGTCAAAGGTGGATAAGCATTAGAAATTTGAAAAAAAAAAACATTTTTTTTACATGCATTTTAAATGGGAAAACTTTAAATTTAAACTGCAAGTACTTAAAATTGATATTAAGAGCTCAAACTTGTTGAGAATTTTTTTTTCTATATGCAGATTAATATTTTGCTTGAGCACCGAAGAAAACAAAAACTTTTCTCCCTACTTTTTGCGGTTTGTTAAAAAAAATTTAAAAAAAAAACGATTTTTTTCAAAAACTGTCCTTTGACGACTCCTACTGGTGAACCAATGCGAGTTACAAAAAAAACCTCAAAAGCAATTTTAAAGAGCGTGGAATTCCCCATAAGGTGTATTAAACCGATTTGCAATATTGTCAAAGGTGGATAAGCATTAGAAATTTGAAAAAAAAACATTTTTTTTACATGCATTTTAAATGGGAAAACTTTAAATTTAAACTGCAAGTACTTAAAATTGATATTAAGAGCTCAAACTTGTTGAGAATTTTTTTTTCTATATGCAGATTAATATTTTGCTTGAGCACCGAAGAAAACAAAAACTTTGCGGAAATGAATCACCCTAATATATATATATTATTATTATTACAATTGTAAGTTGAAGTTACAATTGTAGGATAAACCTAAAGGTAAGTTTATTGTTTCTTCTAGGTAGCTGTTGAGTTTGTG